ATAACGTATTTAAATCAAATACAGTTAATGATATGTCTCATTTGATTTGATTGTTTTTGGGATGTAGTGGGGTTACGTCACACAAGACTGTGTAGGTCATTTTAGCGACTCTTCAGTTTTACTGGTGGAGTAAGAACTCAGGTGCCCCCTTTGCAAAATTGTTTCTGGCACAAACAGGCATCTGTGTATGTAATGAGTTACGTTTCGTAGGCTATCTTGATAGGATCGTACATACACGTTCCACACACAATTACATCATATTCATACCATAGGCAAAATTAAAATGCACGTTCCCTGTTGTAACAATATTAAACCCAGAAAAAAAACCTATGAACCAGCTTCTGAATGTGGCATTTTCTATCGTTATTCCAAAAAAAGCACCCCCCCCCCAAAAAAAAAGAATGAGTACATCAATGGGCATGCTCTGGAGTGTTGGGAACTATTACCTGCACTCCAGTTACGCACTGTGCATGTATATGAATTCGATTTAACTCTGACTCGTTTTCAACAGAAAAGTCTTCAAACTATGATACAATAAATGTTTATGATTCTATTAGAAACTTGTTTAGAATTTAATGATTTTTCGGTGAAAACGATATAAATTACATTACTTGTGCTACAGATGAGATCAAAGTGCTGAAGGCACTGAAGAAAAAAACGGATAAACTAACACATTTTCACTCCAGTTTCACAGGTAAATGAATTTTATGTGTCGCGGTTTACATCTTAATATCAGCTACCCTTTGCTTTTTGCGACTTTTGTTTTTGAAAATAATCTAAACGAGTAAAATAAACCCTCTTTTATGGGCAAATTATTTAATAAGTAGCAACCCCGATTTCTCTTTCATAAATTGGCTTTAGCAAATTCTCTTCTATTTCAAATATTAAGAACATTCTGTCAGTGACGGGTCTTCTAATTGAAATCTTCCTGGTGAGTATGTTTCGGTAACAGGAAGAAAATGACAGTCTGTTCGTATTATCGGTAACAGGAAGAAAATGACAGTCTGTTCATTTGATCATGACTGTGAAAAATCGTATTTTGTGAACCAATTTATCCTGCCGATAAAGATTTTGCAAGCAATCTGGTTGTTTATGTTCAAGTGCTTACACTTAGTATTTAATTCCAAAGAACATTTCTTAGGAGACATTAAACGTTTGATTACAGTTTAATCACTGTAACCGAAATACTTAGGAATTAATTTTAATTCCTGTTACTGTGAAATTTTTCGTTCATGTTTTTAAAATACTTAAGTAGCTCTATAAATTTTCAAAACGATATCCAGTATTTCCGAAACAATCAGAAAGGCTTCTAATACATACTCGGTATTACTTATAAATCTTAAAGTATTACGAGAACCACCCACCTAATATCCAGAACATACATACGAAAAACAAGATAAATCAAAAGGCTGCAAGCTCTGTGGTATTTTCTGATCTTTGCAATCTAAATCGCACTTTAAAACTGTATTATTTTCCTGTATAAGTTTATTTTTATGTACTATAATTCTTCTTGCTTGGTACCAGAGTTTGGATACATATGGAATTTTCATGACTATGGTTGCATCAAAAAATCATTTATGTTCATTTTTATGACAGTCATACTTTATCCTTGCATATCGTGGCTATTTCCTTCACAAAGAAACTTTATAAAAACTAATTGCCTTGAATTGGATTTGAACCCCAGACACACTAAACGAGCGCGCGTTACCCTTGCACCTCGGAGAAGATATACGAACAATGCCTGAATAAAATCAAGTAATACTAAATTTTAGATTTTCCATTGCATTTCGGGTTTGTAATCCTTATTAATTTCGAGGTTTTTTGTTCAAGAAAAACCTGTTGTTTAACATTGATGTAAATAATTTAACAAAAATCTTCCCGCCAAAACATTCCGACATGTTATATATTCAACTACTCGACAGTCAGATTTATTTGTGAAATACGCTCTCGACATCTGCTTAAAAAAGCATTTTCATTGATTAAAATGATATTCATCCGCGTAATTTGTGAATGTGCATTCATTGACAATTCTGTAACCCAAAGCTACTTTTAAACTTTGAATGCGTTGTAATTTGTTGGATACTTATAACAAAATGAAAATATTTCTTTTTTTTTAAAATCGCTAGTTTTCAGCTGTTTTAAGAACTGCTTGTTGTTAGGTTTGTCGTGAAACCGCTGTGTCAGAGATATATGCAACACCCACACAACCAAGCAACACAGGACCACAGCTAAATTATCAATGAAAAATTTAATTTCAGGCTTTCAAGTGGTAAATAAAAAGACTAAACAAAAAAAGAGAAAACAGGAAGAAAGAAGAGACAAAAGTAGAGAAAAAATAAAGGTTTTTAGTGCTATAAAGCAAGAAAAGCAGGGTTCTCTTTCTAACTTAGTTATGCAATGAAATGCACCCGATCAAATATTTAGCCATTGCAATTTTTGAAACCAGTCACTCGTGTTTTCAAAAATAGTCGGGAAATGAACCTGACCTTTTTTATCAAAATATTTAAAAATCTATTAGCAATGAGTATGCCATGATAAACAGGCTATAAGGAGTAAAAACAATGGTTAAGATATGCATCGCCCTTTCCCAAGTTTATACCGTCTAGGAGTTGGAAGTATTATAAAACATAGTTTAAGCAATGGTTGTTGTATGAGGTGAGGTTAATACTATCTTACTGAATTCTTAAAGTTACGTTTACTTACCTGCCCTTCACATTTGTCTTGCAAGTATCATGATTTTGTTCGTTCGTTTCATTTGAAAGAAAGTTAGGGTTTAAAGAACAACAACTATATAATCAGTTTTAAGTTTATTTCACTAGTCACGGCAATAGCCCTGCTGTGGAAGCTTGACTGTGTTGGGGGCTGCTTCCTGTGAACGTTACCGTCGCCTTGTTTGTCTTTATTCCAGTTTTCATTTTTTACTCTTATAACGCTCTCAATTTCTTTTCCACCGGGAAGCTTCAATATATTGGTAACATTAAAGGACAGCTCAATTGACCCATCACTAGTACGGAGGCCTTCCAATAAAAAAGAAATTTATCAGGATATCTGCTAAATCAATAATGATAATAATTATATTAATAGAGCCAGATTGTAACTCTTTTCAGACCTTCTTGATAATGTTTACCATGTGCATGAAACAGGTATCAATTACCTATAGTTTTGAATGTCTAGATCAAAACGTAGTAATCTTCTCATCAACAAAGTTTACATCCAATGCGGATAACTATGCTAGTATGTATGAAAATGATAAATATTAAATTTCAGATCTATCTAGCAAAGGAGATCGATTTTTCATTATAGAATTTTAATTATAAATAATATGCACTAGACATACATAAGAAATATTAACTAATAAAATTGAAGCCTAAATGTCCTTTAGTGAGGCCGGATTCATTCTCTATTTAGCCAGTGCTTTCAGTGCTTTGATCAGAGTTAAAGAGAAATCTCTGGAATAACATTCTGTGTGTGCGTGTGATTTTTTATGCTTACAATACTCAAGTTCATGTTCATTGTATAAAAGGTATTACGAAGTTTTTTTTCCTGAACGGGTGTCAGATAAACCAAAGTGACCTTTGAAATAGGACCCATAACAGTGATTGACAAAGTAAATTTTCTTAGCCTAGATATCAGGATATTTTAACCATTACAAAGTTAATACATAATATTTAATAATTACACGAAAGCTCTCAAATTAACATAGAATATTTGTAAAATTTGTGTATGTCCGTTTCCAACTCCGTACGTTTAGCTAAATTCATCATTGTAATGGAGAAAAAAACATGATTACAACAATGTCAGTGTTCGAAATTAGCACTAGTCCTATAGCCCCTGACTACTAAATTTCTCCTCGGACTACCAACTTTTCAAAGTAACAAGCCCGGCCAGACTACTGTATTTTCAGAGGCAATATAAACAACTGTTTTGAACAAATGAATCGTGCTAGTGAAATGTCTTTTGGGCTATTGAATATTCCAATCTGGTAGTCCGACCAGCCTAGTGGTTTCAAATCCGAATTTCTTACACTGCAATGTAATGCTTTAAATATATTGAAATTCCTTTTGAAAGATTTTTCTCACAAGAACATATGTGAACAACAAGAAATTTAACAAACAAACCCATAATTTGCTTTTAAATTTACGGATTGTTGGTATATTCCACTTTCACACTTTCATTGCTGCCGATACACAAAAAATTCTCCGTTTCGCTTTTTAGTCATCCCGACAATCATCACGTGACCGTTGTTTTTATTCAGATTTGCAAACTGAAAGGTGTTTAAACGCTTTTCCCACAAAATTGGAGAAAATATGTATTTCAAACGATTTGCCAATCCAAAGAACACATATCCATGTATCACTGATTCTGTTTGTATGTCCCTATAACGCAGGTAACAAAAAATTATCGGTTCGTGAAATTTTACTTTTTTTTTGTGACATTAGGCCGTACCTCAGTGGAGTACCTTTAATGCATACACATTGGGTTGTTTCCCTTCTCTCTATTTTTCGCGAGGATGTCACTTCTCCCTATAATTTTCCCCCAGGATGAGCCCTGCGTACGACTAGCCAATACAGTGTGTCCTGGCTAGTTGTATGTGACTCACATACGGCTAGAACTTTGGCTAGCCGTACGGGCCTGTAAGACTAGCCACTTCCTTTCGCATATTGAGGCAGATATAGGGCACAAAATATATGCAGATTTCTACCCGAAACACAGGTGAAAACAGTCAGAGAGGAAGCATCAGGAGAGGAACTGGTATGAAATACAGGAAATTGGAATAGTCTATTGTCAAATTGGTGGGTCTTGTTATACACATTACCCCACCCACTTATTTAAACATGTTTGCGCACGTATCGTTTGTTCCAACGGGTGTATTTCATTGATTTAGAATTCAAAAGTCAACACTTTAAGATTGACAAATATTTGACCGTTTTAAAAATTATCATTTTCTACAAAATATGTATATTTATCATGCAACGTTCTTAATACATTAAAAAATATACCTCTATTTGGTCTAGGAGTTTGAGTAGCCGCCATTTTCAAACAAATATGATGTTACACGGAAAGTATTGCTTTACACGGAATGGACGAATGAAGGTATAGCATTCTGATTATGACTAGCAGGCACATTGTCATTAAAGAAATTATTAACTGATATATGCAAATTTAAAATGTTAAAAGAATCAAAGTTCTACAAGACTATTAATTTAAAAGAAGTGTATCATATGTTTGGGAACATTCTATCAGGGATTCTGTTGGCCTGTTGATGCTTTGCATATTCTATCTATCTATCTCTGAGTACTGCCAACCCATCTCGTGTGTGTTATATAGGCAGGAAATTGTGCGTGTCGGGTGTGTTAGTGATAGATGTGAGAAAAAGTAAAAACCTGAAAATGAAAATAATCAGGACAGTGAGATCCATTGAAAACTTCTAGTCATTGTTAAAATATTTTTATTAGTAACAGTGAAAGAAAGATTTAAAAGTAAAAACACAACAAGTCAACTAATACTGTATCTTAACCACTGCCTGTTTGTATTGATCTTGATCAGGCAGGGTGACAATGTTCCTTGGGAGCTGGTTCCAAAGTGTGATACAGTGGGAGAACTTATTGTAGTCTGATGTAACCTGTATTTTCCTAAGAGAAAGGGGATGCATATGTCTAGTAAGCCTAGATGGAGTTTTAATGTATGTGGGAAGGCTGATAGCTACTAGATTATGGTAAATTAAAAAAAAGCACTTAATAAGTCTAAAGTCTAGTCTGCGATGCTCGAGAGAACGCCAGCCAAGATCTTTCTGTATGGCTGTAACTGATGACAAAGGGGAGTAATCCTGTTTTTCCCAGCGTATCGCTCGTCTTTGGACCATCTCTATTTTTTTGATGTTTGATTGTGTCTAGGGGCTCCAAACAGTTGATGCATATTCTAGCTGGGGACTTACTATGGATTTATAAACTAATTGTTTTACTTTTTCATTTTTTGTATTGATATTTCGTTTTATGAATCCAAGGGTTTTATTTGCATTTGATGCAATTCTTGAGATATGTGTGTTATAGTTTAGGTCTGAGGACAAGTCAATGCCAAGGTATTTTGAACTAGGAACTGATGTTAAAACTTGGCCGTGAAGGAAGTACTTGTTGTTGATGACTTTTTTGTTTTTAGTGATGTGAAGGATTTGACATTTTGAGGGGTTGAATTCCATGTCCCACTCCCTTTTCCCAGATTTGCATCTTATTGAGATCCTCCTGAAGGGATTGTTAGTCTGAGGACGAGTTTATAGTAATGTAAACAACAGTGTCATCAGCAAAGAGGCGAATTTGAGACTTGAAGAGAGAAGATGTAAGTTCATTAATGTAGATCAGAAAGCAGAGTGGGCCAAGGACGGACCCTTGGGGACGCCAGAGTTTACAGGGACTTCTGTAGAGTGTTCATCTTCCAGTACAACAGTTTGGCTCCGACCTATAAGGAAGAAACGTGTCCAATTGAGAATTTGTGTGGAGACACCGTTTTCTTGAAGTGTAAGGAGAAGTTTATGATGATTTACTTTGTAAAAGGCTTTGCTAAAGTCAAGGAGAATAAGATCTGTTTGTTTCCCTGCTGAGATGTTGTTGACAAGGGAGTCTGTTAGTTCAATAAGCTGTGTTTCACATGAGCGTTTCTCCCTAAAGCCACGTTGTAGGTCGAAGAGAATGTTGTGATTACTGAAGTGTGAAGAGAGATGTGAGGCGACAATGTGTTCGTGTGTTTTGCAAAGGATACACGTTAATAGAATCGGTCGATAATTGGCTAGATTTGCGCTGTTACCTTTTTTGTAAATAGGGCAAACATAGGCTTTGGTCCAGTCAGAGGGAATTGTACCAGAGGATAAAGATTTTTGGAATAGAATTGTGATAATATCTGTGATTTCATTCCTCAGTTTTTTTTAGAACAACCGGCCGAACAAGGTCTGGGCCTGCAGCTTTATCTATCTTTAGGTTGGCAAGAAGTTTCAGCACCCCATTTTTGCTGACATATATATGAGGGTATTTACAGTATTTTTGGGGTCAAGGTAATAGAGTTTTTGCATGCAAGTTTGTTTTAGATACAATGGAGAGGCACTGGAGAAAACTGATTGGAACTGCGTGTTCAATATATTGGCCTTGTCGCAGTTGATTAATTTAAGAGAGCCTGTTGTTTGGTCTTTGAGAGTTGTTACATTTTGGGAATCTTGTTTTGAGTTTTTTAAGTGAGAGTTCAGTTTTTTTGTAGAAAACTTAGTTTTGGTGTCTGTGGGATCATTGTCATCAAGTTCTAATATGTGTTCTTCGTGTTGGTCGTAAGATGTTTTGATTTGAGTTTTGATGAGTTCTTTCAATTTTTTCAATTTTTGTCTAAGTTCGTGATTTGATTTATGTTTTTTAAGTTTTTGGTATATATGGTCTCTTTTTGTCATGAGTTTTTTAATTACCTTTGTTATGTAGGGTAAGGATTTTTTTGATCCTATTCTTTTTAGAACAAATTTAGCAATTCCAGTTTCAATTGTTGATTTAAATTGAGTCCATAGTTCTTCAACTGAAAGTGTATCAACTTTGTGTATGATTTCTTTGCTAAATATCTGCATATGATTTTTAAATCAGGCCAGTAAGCTTTTTTATAAATTTGTCAGTTTCTTGGTTTTTGTTTGGTTATAATTGGTCGTGCGTGTACAGTTGTTGTGATTATGTCATGATCTGAAATTCCAGGGATTATTTCTGTTTTGTTGACAAGTGTGTGGTTTGAAATTAAAAAGAGGTCTAAAATATTGTTGTGTCTTGTGTTTTCATTTATCATTTGAGTAAGGCTATGATTTTCGATGACTTCAAGGAATTTATCATAAGTGGGGTTTGAATTAAAGCCAGATTTGTAAGAATAATTATGTTCTGAGTCCCATGTAAGTTTTGGAAAGTTAAAATCTCCTAGAACTATTTTTTTGTCTTTAAGATTTCTTGTTAAGTCTAGTGATTTTTTTCAAATTCAAGTGTACTTTTGTGTCGTTTTCATGTGGTTTATAGTAGGATGCGATGTAGAATGGTTTGTACCTTTAATTTCTACTTTAACCCATAAATTTCACAGTCAGTGCTAAGTTTTGGTTGTTCACATGAGATAAAGATATTTTTACAAGTATTAGTACACCACCTCCTTTTCCGGTTTGTCTATCTTTTCGGTAGACTGTGTACCCTAGGGATGTTGGAAATATTTCTCTTGTAAAATGCTCTTTCTTCAGCCAAGACTCTGTTATGGTGACAACATCAGGGTTTTGAGAAATAATCATACTTTGAAATTCATGCTTTTTGTTCACAATAGATTGGCAATTTACACAGATAATTTTAATTTTCGAAACATAGTTGTGAGTTTGTGGTTTGGATGTACTAGTGTGGGGGTGAGGAGTCACATTTGTATCTGAAAGGCTTGAAAAACTATTTTGTGAGGTAATGGATATTATACTTGAACTGGTGTTGGAATGGTTTAAACTATTACACAAAGTACATGTCCATGCAAAGGATGCTTCTGTTATCTTATGTCCCAGGCATATTGTAATCCCCGAGCACCCAGGCAATACTATTTTTGGGGATCTTTTTTATGAATGATCAGAGTCAGATCGGGTTGTTCCTGGCTTAGGAATGAGGGTTCCCCCACTTTTGCCCTCTAGTCTGTCTTCCCTGTATACCTGGAAGTTTAAGAAGTCAGAAAAAATAGAATCTCTAAAGAACGCCAAAAGCTCATTAAGTCTCATTCAGATGGTGAAATTGTTAGTTTAATTGGTATTTTAATCGCCAGAATAAGAAAAAATTCTCAGGCACATTTAATCTTATCAAGTGTTCTGTCCAAATCTTATGATCCATTTTCTCATATTATTTTATCGTGGCACTAATGCCTAAACTGGCATAGATAAACTTTGCATAACATTTAACACAGAACAAGATCCATTTCAGACATTATGAACAAAGAAAACATCATATTTGGAAAATTTACCATGGACATTTTTCTATTTGTGTACGGACGTTTTGACGAAAAAGGTACTTTTTTGTATTATCTGGTAATATTATTTTTAGCTAAATGCTGGTCGCTATTAAATGATTTTGTTCTACAAACCATCTTAAATGATTAGAAAATGTTTCTGTTTTATAATGCAAAATAACTCAACTATAGTATGATTAAAATTAAAGTTGAAATTTCATCACTTTTCTCTTGATTACTGATATTTCATAAAACATTATTTTTAAATGCTTTTATAATATGTTTATCTGAATATTGACTTCGTATTTATCAACGCTTCAAAGAAGATATGTTTTCGGATTCCGAAGTGCCAATTTCATCTGTTTTAAGCATGTCCCATTAATCTTACTAACCCTGGCAATACGAGAAGCAGGGAGTAAAGTCAAATAAATCAGTAATTAAGGGTTTGCAAGAGCTTTGTAAAACAAAAAGGATCATTGTGTATAACGGTTAAATATTTATGTTACCTAGAAAATAAATAGATGGCTGAAATTACAATTGAAATAAAAATCATTTCTGTACCTACGCACACTTTCCTCGTCATTCCTGCCACATTTTGGGTCCATTTGCCTTAACTTTAGTCAGGACACCGGAACTAACTATAAACAAACTAAAATAAAAAAAAATAAAAGGAATAAGCAAATAATCTTATCTGACTGTAGAAAGCATGCGAACTTGCCGTCTTACATGTTGCAGTGGATTTTCAATAATCTGATTGATAAAAAAATTAAAATAATAATAATAATAGAAATAATAATAATTATAATAATAATAATAATTAAAAAAACTCAAAATAATGATTATTTAATTTATAATGCGCGGTAGACTATGACTTCCCTGTACAATATTCCAAAGATCAGGCCTCAATGTTATAAAACTTCTGTCTGAGTTCTGTCTCATAACTCAGGATTTTCATTGGTCAGTATACATTCTGTGGCAGTCTCTGACCAATCAAGTTTCTTTATAACCTCGGGGCCAGGTCTTATCATATTCCTGAGTTCCTTCTATCAAGATAGTCAAGAAAATTATTTGCTTTATTTTGTTACTAAGGATAAAACTTTGGGGACGTTCACAGAACGGCATGTTATATAGTGTAACATTGATTGGTTCCATGATTACCGCTGTAGAAACACACGGAAACTATAAAATAATAGCAACAAGATGCAGGCTAGTTTTGTTTGAGTTTGTTCATTGACGGCAGTTGCAAAATCTATTGTTAACGCCCCTTTGGTCACAAAGTTAAAGAATACATTGATCTCTAAATGAGAAACATTTGACAAAAAAACGAATTTTTTATAGGAGATCGGAGATTATTTTTTATTTCTACAAAATGTTTTGCACATGTCTTTTTTGTTTCACAGCTCAGTGTGAGCTTTTACGATCGTTGAATGTCCGTCGTCCGTCCACACTTGTTCGTTAACACTCTAGCGGTCACATTTTTGCCTCAATTATCATCAAACTTTGTCAGCATGCTTATCTAGGTAATCGCTGGGATGATTTGGAACATGGGTCATCTCGGATGTAAAATCTAGGTCACATGAGCTAAAAATAGAAAAACCTTGTTAACACTCTAGCGGTCAATTTTTTTATTCAATCTTCATCAAACTTTGCCAGGAAACTTATCTAGGTAATAGCTCGAATAAATTCGAAAATGGGTCATCTTGGATCAAAAACTAGGTCATAGGAGCTAAAAATAGAAAAACCTTGTTAACACTCTAGTGGTCACATTTCTTACTCAATCATTATCAAACTTGGCCAGGACGCTTGTCTAGGTAAATGCTCAAATGATTTTGAACATATGTCATCTCGGATGAAAAACTAGGTCACAGAAACTAAAATTAGAAAAAACCTTGTTAACACTCTAGTGGTCACATTTTTTACTTTTTTACTCATATATCATCAAACTTGGTCAGAATGCTTGTCTAGCTAAATGCTCGGACGATTTTAAACATGAGTCATCTCGGATGAAAAACAAGGTCACAGGAGCTAAAAATAGAAAAATCTTGTTAACACTCTAGTGGCTACTGTTTTGACCCAAATAGCCTGGAAATTGGTCTGAAAGTTTGTTTTAATGATTTCCAGGTCAAGTTTGAATATGAGTCACCTGGGTTAAAAAAAAACTAGGTCACACCGCCAAAATATGGAAAACCTTGTTAACACTCTAATGGTCACATTTTATCTCAATTATCATCAAACTTAGTCAGAATGCTTGTCTAGAAAATTGCTCGCATGACTTCGAACATGGGTCATCTTGGATGAAAATCTAGGTCACATGAGCTAAAGATAAAAAAATCTTGTTAACACTCTAGTGGCTACTGTTATGATCTAAATATTCTGGAAATTGGTGTGAAATTTTTGTTTTGATGATTTCTAGGTCAAGTTCGAATATGGGTCACCTGGGTTCAAAAACTAGGTCACACTGCTCAAATATGGATAATCCTTGTCAACACTCTATTTTTGACTCATCTGTCATCACTTGGTCAGAATACTTGTCTAGGTAATTGTTTGGATGAGTTGGATGGGTCAGGTGAGCGATCTAGGGCTATCTTGGCCCTCTTGTTAACTTTTCTTAATTGCTTGAAACACGGACAGCCTTCTGTGGAGTTTGAAAATGTTGATAGACAGATAATATCTCCTATACTTGTTACACAGCAGCCAAAAGAGAAATATATTATTATATTCAAGTAGGGATAGTGAAACCAAAATCAAGTATTAGATTCAAATACATCAAACAATTCAAGAATATCGTACAGAGCAATTGGGAATATAACATTTCTGAAATTGAATGTACATGGAGAGAATTTACACCCTCCACACGCTGGTGTAACTATTATATAGATGAGGTGGAAACCTTGATGAATGCCCAAAACATCAAAACAAGGAAAGAAAAAAGACATGGTGAAAATGTTTCAGGCTCGGTTAGATTGACAGCAATGGTAAATGCAATTTAATTACCATAGCACCGGCTTAAGCAGAATCCAATATTTAAAGATACGGTTTCTTAAAAAAAAATCTTTTCAATTAATTCTTACCATTTTTCTCTAACCGATTCAACCCAAGGACATTTCACACATTTTTTATTAATTTTTTTTAATGGAAATGACAGACAGTACAGCTCTTTACAATTTGATTTTTATTTAGATACAGTATTAGTTGACTTGTTGTGTTTTAAATCTTTTTTTCACTCTTCCTAATAAAAACATTTAAACAAGGACTTCAAGTTTTCAATGTCTCTCACTGCCCTGATCATGTTCATTTTCAGGTTTTTACTTTCTCTCACACCTTTCACTAACACACCCGGCGCGCACTATTCCTCCCTATAACACTCGCCTGAGAGGTTGCGGTAGGTAGGGTAGGGTAGGGTAGGTAAGCTTTTTTGCTATGTCTATTAGTTCTACCAATTTTAAATAATGTTGAAATTTACTCTCCTGTATATCTACAATTTCCGGTAATTACAGATATGTTCGCTTTTTGGATATAGTGGCGTTTTACCGTTGACTGTTAATATTCACTCCGTAAACATGGGAGTACTTCCGGCAAAAAAATCGACAATTTATTAACTTTAATAAAATAAAAGTTTATTTTCCAACATTTACCTCTATAATTTGATAGTTTCGTGTAATTTTAACGCGAACCTATTCAAAACATTTTAAATCAGAATTTCACATTTGTTTACGATCCACGTTGACAGATCACGTGATACGGTCAAAGCCAACTTCCTTTTTACTGCCACATTGAAACTTTGAACAGCGAGGAAATGAGTGCTCCTCAAGTTTTTCACAAAGGAATTGTCAAACAGGTAAGATAATGTTTTCTATTTCAACAATACATATTTCTTGTTAGACAGTGATAATTGTTTCCCAAACATGGTAAACATATTATTAGAAAATAAGCAAATTTAAAATGAAAGTAGAAACCGGTGACATATGTTCAGTTTTATCTCAAAACAATGTATCGTGTATGGAATAAGTAGTACATATTCATTGAATTAACGTTTGTAATGAACTTAACAATTAGAACAATCATCTCTTGATTTGGCCCTAACACTTACATGGCTTAATTAGATCTTTTCACATCTGCCAATTGTTAAGTTTTAATTATTATGAAATTAGGCAAAACCTATGAACGGGGAAGTTGTTTTTTTTTTCCTTCACATTTTCCGTTTTAGAGGTGGCATTGATTCGGTATTTCATGCACTGCTTCTGTTTTCACTTGGAACACATTAATGATTAACTGTTAATCCGAAAAGTTGCTATTGTTCCGTTTCATTTTTTATTAGCTCGACTTTTCTATGAAAAGGGGAGCTATCCTACTCGCCCCGGCGTCGGCGTTAGCGTTGGCGTCACACCTTGGTTAAGTTTTTCGTACCACCCCACTTTATTTCAGAAGTATTACAAGTATGGCTTTGAAACTTACCATACTTGTTCACCATCATAACCTCCATCTACAGACAAGAGTACATAACTCTGTCAAGGTTTTTGACAGAATTATGGCCCTTTTTTGACTTAGAAAGTGTATTGAGCTTGGTTAAGTTTTTTTGTACCACCTCACTTTATTTCAAAAACCATTGGAGGTATTGCTTTGAAACTGACCATACTTGTTTACCATCACGACCTTCATCAACAGACAAGAGGACATAACTCTGTCAAGGTTTTTGACAGAATTATGCCCCTTTTTGACTTAGAAAATACATTGAATATGGGTAAAATCCACTTATTGCCTTAACCCTTTGAGATATTGCTTTGAAACTTTTAATGCTATTTCACATCATTACCCCCATCTGTACGCAAGAGAAGGTAACTCTGTCAGGGATTTGTTTTAAAAATTAAGGCCTTTTATCGACTTAGAATCTTGGTTAAGTTTTTTGTACCAGTCAACTTTTTGACTGAACTGGTTGAGATATTAAATTGAAAGTTGGAATACTTGTTTACCATCATGGTCCCAAAACATGGGCAGGAGAAGGTAATTCTGTTAAGGATTTTATTTGAATTATGGCCCTTTTTTGACTTAGAAACTCAGTTAAATTTTTCATTCTTGTCCACTTGTTGACCTAACCATTTGAGATATTACTTTGGAAGTTGGAGTTCTTATGTGCCATTCATGAGACCTATCTGTAAGCAAGAGAAGATAACTCTGTGAAAATGTTTCTTGATTTGTACTTAGAAATTCATAGTTAAAGTCTTGTGTGCCCTTAACTGTCAAAAGTTTTTGTTTTATAGGCAAGCACTAAAAAAGTCGAGCGCGCTGTCCTTCTGACAGCTCTTGTTTGATTTTCTTTTTAATATACATAATATTTATTTATTATGTAGTGTCTTTAGCAGTACAAGCCAGAGCCAAGACCCGCTTTGCCGACCAACGTATAAATATGAGTTCCTACATGTCTACATGTATTGTTTAATTGTTTAAATTTAGCAGGTAGATCTGACTACTGCAATATAAGTAAGTCCGTGACATAAAAGAAAAACTGATGACAGTCTAAGGTGTTGTACCAATATAAAAATGTCATTGAAAAAAAATTTTTAATTTGGGTGTCTGGCAAAAATTTGGGTTTGGGAACTATTGACCCTCAGTTTTTTAATTTTTCCCTTTTAAATTTTAAAAAATAAAACTGTGCCCTGAAATTTTCACTGATATTTGCAGTATTCCCCCCCTTATTATGAAAATTTTGGGAAGTCCCTCAATTTTAAAAAGGGGGCTTTGGGTGGGCATTGAGTAGAACCAGGGTAGTACTCTAACAAACAGAATTTATAAACTGCCATTTCTTCCAGTAAAGCATGCATGAATGCCTTAAGCTGTGTGGAAAAAAAAACAACAGAAAAACAGACATTGGGAATTCCTCCTTAAAATTTCAAATGGCAAAATATAAACCAAAATGTCTTAGTTTATACTAATTTATGATAGTTTGTGTTTGAATTCATAAGCTCATTGGAACACTCTGGAATCCGTTCTTGGGACTAATCAGTACTTAGCAATGAGTGTAAAGTTTCATGCTCAAGGAAACAACGGCTTGCCCATGTGGTCAGAAATCCTTAGGTTACTAGTCTGACGTGTTTACCACTCGGCCATACCAACACACAAACAAGTTTTTACCACCTTACATAAAATATATTAATAAACATTCAAAAAAGATTTTTTGTTTTCATGAGTGATATTTTTATTTAATTCTTGTTACATATTTTCTAAGGTGATTTTTTTTATCTTTGGTTTGTTCATGAGCAGGCATGTACCACTGAATTAAAGTCAGTGTAATAGTAAGTCTGCAGTACAACAACAGTCGGTACTTGTAATAGTGTTGAACAAATTTATATGTTTTTGTAGACATCCACTATTGTCTTGTTTGAAAAGATGCTTCAACCTTGAAATTATAAAAATGCCCCTGGGTGATATTTTATTGATTACCTGAAATTCAGGTTATGACAGGGGATGCTTTATCTACCTGTCATTTACAACCCTTTGGGGATCAATATATATAATGACTTCTTGGCTAGTTTGGATGTAAGAAAAACTGGTGTCAGTATGAAAATTCAACAAGATGCTTGGAAAGATATAACTGGTTTTCATTTCCTAACTGTTTTTTCATAATTATATTAATTCAAGCAAAAAAAAATGTTCAGTTCTTAGTAAATTACCCAATTTTATCTACATAATATTTTGTCATGACTAGGTAAAAAGTAAAAAAAGTATGTTATTGAGATAAAAGGCTGTTTATACTAAACATACTTTTAAAGAGTAATGGGCAATGTGTATGAATTCATTAGTTTTTAATACTGTTATACAAAACCATTCTGTTGTGCTCATTTAAACTCTATTGCTACAAATCCAGTCTATGGATTTGATTGTTTTGTTTTATACTTATAGCCTAGCATTGTATTTTATCAATGATTGTAAGCTAAAATATTGGAATCTGCCAAACAATATGGGATTGTTCATTGTAATTGTCTTGTTGCAAATTAAGATGTGTCTAAAGAGTTAACTTTCTATTGTTATAGTTGTTAATTTTATAAATCTCTTGTTATTCTTTGAGAGGATGCATTGAATCAGAAGCATTTCTTTTTGTTTGTTTTGTCTGGTTAATATGCTAATTTCAATACATCTAAGGTCATACCTTGGCTGTCATTCCACTTCAATTTGAATCACCTTTCCTGGATCACTAGCCAGTGATAACCAATAAATGACCAACAACTTATCCCTTATGAATCAGTTGTTAGAGACAAATGGCCATTAGAATTAATGTCTGTGAATAATATTTCTATTGATAAATTTCTATTCTAATGTTTCTATTGTTATATTAATTTTGTAATCTGTTATCTTATTCAGGTTCTGTCAGGGGATGCTGTGGTCATCCGAGGACAGCCCCGTGGAGGGCCACCACCAGAGAGAACATTATGTTTCTCTAATATAACAGCACCAAGACTTGCACGCAGGGCTAATCCTAATGTTGAAGGTTCAGCTGAGACAAAAGATGAGGTTAGAACATTGTTGGACATCTAACATCTTTCTAAAATTAATTAAATTATAACCTTTGTAACAGTTTAATTTTGTCTTGTCAATGTGAATGAGTTTATATTAATTTATATCAGATATTTACTTCAATGATAGTGCAATTTAATATAGTTATAAAAATAATAAATTATGTCTCCACAAAGATTTTATTATTGAAAGGAAACATTTCAAGCTTGTTGACCATATTAATTAACGGGGAGCTAGTATATAAATTTTAAATCTTCCAGCTAAAATTTGCCTAGCTCTGTAAATATGTATGACAGTAGTGACTGATGGCTATTATGTGGCCATTTATCAGTATGTTCTTGAACATTTAAAAGGAAAATTAAGAAAATCTGTTGTAAATGGTTCCATGATCTGCATTTCATGATGTATATTTTGCAGCCTTGTGCATGGCAAGCTAGAGAATTTGTTAGAAAATGTTTGATAGGGAAAGAAGTCATGTTTACAATAGAATACAAAACACCATCTGCAACCAGAGAATATGGATGTGTCTATTTGGCAAAGGGTTTGTAAATTTTTGAAAAATAATTTATTCTATACAAAAATCATTTACAGTAGAATCCCTCCTTAAGACCACCCCGGATTTAAGACCACCCCACTATTAAGACCATTTTTTAAAAGAACGGAATTTTCTGTTCTTTATGTCATTGGTTACATGATTCAGAATTAAGACCACCCCGCTTATCCACTTTTAAGACCACCAAATTAAGTCCAAATTCCTTGTTTTATTCTTTATTTGACCCCACTATTGAGACCACTGATATTAAAGTCAACACCTACCTAGATCTTTAATTTGTTGTTATTATCTGCTTGAATGCACTTAGCTATGACACTTGATATCCCAAGGTGTCAAAAGCTGTTGATTATTGGGTTATTGTATGAAAAAAGGTGAGAAAGTAAATCTAAGAGTGGTTTAATGTTGCTTTCAGCACATTTAGTTTGTGAAGATTTAATTTCTAATTTTAAAGGTGAATATTGTATATCATATAGTAAAATCAAATAATAAAATTAAAATCAGAACCAAAGAGAATTTAATGTTAAATTTCTTCAAAAATGTGTTTTCCTCTTATCAGATTATTTATTATACATACTTTAATATTGTTAATATAGATATTGTTTGTTCATACAACATGACTAAATAGACCATTGCCATAAAGTATGCAATGATAAGAAAATTCACAATTAAGACCACCCCGCAATTAAGACCACTTTCATTCAGTCCCAATGGTGGTCTTAAATGAGGGTTTTTACTGTATTTAGATAATAATAATAACACAAGGATACAACTAGTCTCAGGAGCTTTTGAGCTTAAAATATATATCAAACTGAAGTTTAACCTGGAATGTTGGGATTTATATTGAAGTTGACATAATTATCTTAGTAGTCTTTGGATCTGGACATTTATCAGCAAATTAATGATAATTATTTACATTATCTACACTTTCAGATCCTTCTGGTGAAAACAAGGAGAATATTACTGAATTACTAGTGGCAGAGGGTCTGGTTGATCTGAGGAGAAGTGGACTCCGAGCTGATGAGTATGTTACATTATATTTACATCAGTGGTGATGATAGATTTCTATGTATATATGTCTAGATAAAGACATATGGGTATATATAGAATATCAGATACCTAATTCATATGTCATGTGACAACTGATTACTGAAATGGGCCAAAAATGGATTTTCAGCTGGATTAAGGGGCTCAAAACTGGACTTTTTAATCATTTGGTTTTTGAGGAATACATAGCATCCTTAGAATGACAAATGTTTTTATATCTTATGAATGGTTTTATTATCAATATTATTTTATCAAAAAAAAGCATATTTCATAATCATGTATCAATAAGTCAATAAAAGTTCCTTTCTAGAAAGTCACATTTTATTATTTTCAGTTTGTATATATTTTTAACAACAGTTTAGTTTCTTTTCAAACTAACAAATTATAAATTAACTGCAGTACTTACGTTTGATGTTATTTTGCCCAGCTTACAGTACAATAGTGTCCTTGTATCTGTATTTGATGTCAAAATTTTCAAAACTTGAATAAAGGTGAGCTTGTCGTGTTAAAACTAAATTTTCACAAAGGTCTTAAATCTAAAAACTAAATTACGGTATTAAAACCAATTTTAAAATTCCTCTATACTTTATTGTTATGTTTCCGTTTTTTGTGAACTTCAGTGAGAATGCACAGAAGCTATTTACTTTGGAAGATGCAGCAAAGGCTTCTGGGAAAGGAAAATGGAATGAAGATGTTCTCACACACCCTGAGAAATATATAAGAGATATCAAGTGGACCATTGAAAACCCAAGACAGTTTGTTGATTCATACCATCAAAAACCTATGGATGGTAATAAGACATTCATCTCTTGTACAAAGATTATTCCAGAAAAATGTTCTAGTCAAGATATATTTTCTTAGATAACTCAGATGAAAGAAAAAGAAAATATACATTTATATGGAACTTCTCAAGAATCATAAGAAAAAAATGCATTAAATGATACAAACAAGCATGGTTGCCCAGTTCATGCCTATGTTAAAAGTGTTAAGTTTTAATTAGCTCTCCGAATATCTTCTATTTGATTTATTGCATAAAGTTTTAGTATTCACATAAAATGTGAAAAAAAATGTTGACAATGTTAGTTTTGTGCAATTATCCTTTGTAAGTGTTATTTGTTCTATATTACATATATATTACATTAAGTTCACTAGCTAAATTTCTGTGTATATCTCTTGTAACTTAATCATGTACATAACATATACAATTTGACAAAACTAATTAGAACATTTGTATATTATAACCAGCTGTGATAGAACATGTAAGAGATGGCTGCACTGTTAGAGCATTCCTGTTACCAGATTTTCATTATGTTACCATCATGCTGTCAGGAATTAAGGTATTTACATTTTGTAACAAATCATGCTGTCAGGAATTAAGGTATTTCCATTTTGTAACAAATCATGCTGTCAGGAATTAAGGTATTTCCATTTTGTAACAAATCATGCTGTCAGGAATTAAGGTATTTCCATTTTGTAACAAATCATGCTGTCAGGAATTAAGGTATTTACATTTTGTAACAAATCATGCTGTCAGGAATTAAGGTATTTCCATTATGTAACAAATCATGCTGTCAGGTATTAAGGTATATCCATTATGTAACAAATCATTCTGTCAGGAATTAAGGTATTTCCATTATGTAACAAATCATGCTGTCAGGAATTAAAGTATTTCCATTATGTAACAAATCATGCTGTCAGGAATTAAGGTATTTCCACTATGTAACAAATCATGCTCTCGGGAATTAAGGTAATTACATTATGTAACAAATCATGCTGTCAGGAATTAAGGTATTTACATTATGTTACAAATCATGCTGTCGGGAATTAAGGTATTTACATTATGTAACAAATCATGCTCTCAGGAATTCAGGTATTTACATTATGTAACAAATCATGCTCTCAGGAATTAAGGTATTTACATTATGTAACAAATCATGCTCTCAGGAATTAAGGTATTTACATTATGTAACAAATCATGCTGTTGGGAATTAAGGTATTTACATTATGTATTACAAATCATGCTGTCGGGAATTAAGGTATTTACATTATGTAACAAATCATGCTGTCGGGAATTAAGGTATGTACATTATGTAACAAATCATGCTTTCAGAATTAAAATATTTCCATTATGCTCTTTGGTATTAAGGTATTAAGATTTTTGTTTTTACCTTAGATATTTCATGATGAAATCTTTTTTGTGTCGCCTCTACAGAGTAGTGGCGACATATAGGGATCACTTCTCCGTCGTCTGTCTGTCCGTCTGTCTGTCTGTCCGTCCGTCCGTCCGTCACAAAACTTGTCCGGACTACTCCTCATAAACTACTACTGGTGCATTTTCATCCAAACTTTACAGGAATGATCAGTACCAAGTCTAGTTGTGCATATTGTCAGCATTTTCCGGTTCAATGATTTTTGTCAGAGTTATGGCCCTTTAATAATTTTTAATTTATAGTTTGTCCGGACTACTTCTCTTATACCACTAATGCAATTTCAATGAAACTTTACAGGATTGATCTCTAGCTCAAGTCCTTGTGCATATTGCACGGGTTTTCCGGTTGAATGATTTTTGGCCGAGTTATGGCCCTTTGATAAAAAGGTTTCTTTTTCTGTGTGTTGCCAGATACACAAAAGCTTGTCCAGACTTACTCCTCATAAACTACTGGTGCAATTTCATTCAAACTTTACAGGAATGATCAGTACCAGTCTAGTTGTGCATATTGTCAGCATTTTTCGGTTCAATGATTTTTGATTGAGTTATGGCCCTTTAATAATTTTTATTTTTAAAGTTTTCCGGACTACTTCTCTTATACCACTAATGCATTTCAATGAAACTTTACAGGATTGATCTGTACCTCAAGTCCTTGCGCATATTGCACGGGTTTTCCGGTTGAATGATTTTTGGCCGAGTTATGGCCCTTTGATAAAAAGGTGTTTTTTTTCTGTGTGTTGCCAGATACGCAAAAGTTTGTCCGGACTACTCCTTATAAACTACTGACGCAATTTTATCCAAACTTTACAGGAATGATCAGTACCAAGTCTAGTTGTGCACTGTCCGTCTGTCTGTCCGTCTGTCACAAAATTTGTCCCAACATGAAATTGGCCATCATGAGGCGATACATGTGATTACTGATCGCTCTTGTTTTAAGAAGTGAAGGTGATTGTATAATTATACAAAGTCTTACTCTTTTGAACTTAAAGTAAAATCCTGAAAGGCATGACAAATGCTCTATTATTCACAATTAATATTTTACATTGACTACAGATATCTTCTAGATGAAACTAAAAACGTCTTGAATTATGATATACAGAATCTGTAGTTAATCACATGATATGTTTATTTTAATGTATTGTATTATTTTAGGCACCAATGTTTAAAACAGATGAAGGTGGACAACAGGTAGCAGAACCATTTGCCGAGGAGGCCAAGTATTTTACTGATAGTCGTCTTCTACAGAGAGAACTCAAGGTCATCATGGAGGGCGTGTCAAACCAGAACATTCTTGGAACTATAATACATCCTGTATGTCTTACATATTGTCTTTTATAACTCTTAGATCTGTTTTTAAGTTGTATATAGATTTGAATAAGGTTTTCATGGTTCAAATTGTTGAAAAATAATAATGTATAATTACATTTTGAAAATAGGCAAATTGCAGGGAATTTTGCCCATTTATAGGGAATAAGGCAGTTAATGTCTGTTAACTGACATTGAAAGGTCTGTTATCTAATGGCTCATTAATATGTCGGGGTATTTGCCTACACTGTCATGTGGTTACATGGGAATGTTAATTTAAAGGGTTTTTTTTTTTTTTTCAATTTTGGAACATCCAGGCATACACTTTAGCATCTTGTCACATATATGAAACTATTAATTTGTATATCTTCAGAATGGTAACATAGCAGAGTTGTTATTAAGGGAAGGATTTGCACGATGTGTAGATTGGAGTATGGGAGTGGTATCTCAGGGCTCAGAAAATCTTAGAGCTGCAGAAAAGTATGTAAAATTAATATTGATAACCGTACACTTCATCTTGTACTTTATGTATAAATCCTGCTACCTATATCTGACATGTTTGCTTTGCATTTAAGTGTTGAGTTTTCAAGTTTGATTTTAAGTGATTTCATTTTCAAAATTGTAACACCTAGTAATGGACATAATAGAGTACAGCCATGCTGTAAATTAACAGAAACCAGACCTGGTTGTATAATAAAAGCATTGGCTAGTCATTACTGCCAGTTAAGTTGTGGAAGACAGGAAAACAGATATATTTTATTGAAGTGTTAACAATTTTGATGTTGCTACATGATAATTTGTATCAGCTTTTAAATATAATCTAAAGTATCAACTGTGGTAGTTATTTCCTTCACCAACATAAAAATTTAGCCAAATACCTGATTTGTTTTCATTTATCCCCTTCATCTGACAACTTCACGGTTTCCATGCCTTGACTTAAGCTCTTATATTGGGGATTAAGCAGAAATATAATGTGATGTAATTTATCTATTACAGGTTCGCTAAGGAGAATAAGAAGAGGATCTGGAAGGATTACTCCCCTTCATCTTCAGGACCAACCATTGATATCAAAGATAAATCATTCCAGGGGAAGGTACAATCACATATCATTTCTTGAATTTTGTCCTAAATTTCTACCAAGCAACTAGTATTGAGAAATATGTTTAGACCTTAAAGGTCCATTATACCCATTCATTTCTTAACAGCTTTTTATTTTTGGTGTCTTAATATTTCTTCAAAAAGTTACTTATTGGACAAGTAGATTAACCATCATTTTCTTCTAATAAGTACAGTTAAAGTGAATTAGTATTTTGTATTGGAGTCATATAACTTCATTTTTTACATTTTGATATTTTTACTGCAAATAATTTTACGTTATTCATGTGACAATCATGCACTAAAACCATTATTAAAACATTGTAAAACTCATGTTTGCCATTTCTAAAGGCTTTTACTCATGTTTTCCATTTCTAAAGAAGGAACAATTTGATTGTTTCTAAGGCATAATATGTCTTTTAGCAATAAGGTGAAAAATATTGAAGCCCCTGTAGTGTGAGAAAATCTTGGCAAAATAAGCTGTATTAAGTATATATGGTACACTGACCTGTTCCACTAATGTTTAAATTAACAACATTATATTAACAGGTTGTTGAATGTGTTAATGGTGATGCATTAGTAGTGAAGACAGCTGATGGCAAATTCAAGAAATGTTTTCTAGCCAGTATCAAACCACCAAGGTGGGTATATTGACATTAACAAACAGTTTCAGACTTGTATAGCTTTTGATTTTCTTCATTTTACATCAAAGAGGCTTATGATTTTCTTCTATTTACATCAAAGAAGCACATAATTGTTGTTGTTATGGTAATATAAAGAAATAAGATTTTTGATAGAATATGACATTACATAGTTAAAGTATAGTAATCACTTTCTTTCAGTCAACTTGTCCTGACTTTTCAGTTTTTTTACTCAATCTCTTATTTTTGTTGTAAAAACCTTAAAACTGCTATCATTTCAATGTTTATACATTAAAATTCAATTGTTATAAGATAGTGATGATCTTTTTTCATGTATATACAGACCTACAGTAGAAGCAGATGCAAGTAAACCAGCACCTAGAGTTACACGACCACTCTATGATATTCCATACATGTTTGAAGCTAGAGAATTCCTCAGGAAAAAACTAATTGGGAAAAAAGTAAGTACATTGTTGAATCAGAAATAACATATTTGTGAATAAAGATACAAAACCTAATTAACATGTACCTGTAACACTTAATATCCTAAATTGATTTGTCTATCTTTCAATCTGGACAAAACCGTTCACCTTTTTTAAGGAAATGTTTACAATATATGCTGTTTGAATAACAAACAGTGAAGATCAATGTACATCAGACAAACAGTTTAACATTTCCATTTGTTAAAGTTATGTGCATAGTTCTTCATATAAAAGTATTGATGAATGAGTAATCAAAGAATGAAAGATACCATTCAAATAACAATTAACTAAAGCTGTTTATATTATATGTATTTTAGGTAAATGTAGAAGTTGATTATATCCAGCCTCCTAACCAAGGCTTCCCGGAGAAAACCTGCTGCACTGTTACCATTGGAGGAATGTAAGTAAACATTACAAATTGTCTATATAGATTCAATAAATATGATTATTACATATTCATTCAATACCCCTTTAAAACAAATTGCCTTTTTAAGCAGAATTTGTAAAAGGATGTATGTGTTTTAAATATGTTATAAATGATATAAAAGCACACCTAACATGCACAGTAATTTATGATTATAGCAGTTCTGTATGCAAGATAATACAAATTGTATTCCTTTGAATTTGATATCATTGAGAAAACCAGGAGGAACATACTTAGTTCTTTTTTCATCTCTCCTACTTTCACTAAGAATAATGCATATATGGCTCTCTGGCTTGTTCACCTGCTTAAAATGAAGCTGCAATTAAGTTCAATGATCTTAACAGAGTCGTGCAACTGAAAAGAAAAATACATGCTTTGAAAAATAAATTTTGTTACAATTTGCTGATAATAATATAATATCTGCAGCAATGTGGCCGAGGCATTGATCAGTAAAGGTCTTGCTACAGTGATCAGATATCGCCAGGACGATGATCAGAGGTCATCCAAATATGACCTTCTCCTAGCAGCTGAAGAAAGAGCAAAGAAGAAGGGTGTTGGTCTTCATTCTAAGAAGGAGGCACCTATACATAGAGTAGCTGATGTTTCTGGGGTATATGATTACAAATATTTATATAAGTATAAATTTACAGTGTTCTTTAAGAAAGTTGACAAGCCTGTCTGCTTTGATTATTGGTAAAAGTCTTGGTCAGGTCACTTATTTGACTGCAAAGATTTTGACTTCTTCCAGCAGGAAATTCTGTAACATGTGTTTGGCTACCTCATCATTCCTTAAATTTAAAAATGGTTATTGTCAATTCCTTGTTTAGCTCAAGTAAAAAAAAGAAAATAGTTTGTATGTTAAAATTCTTTATCCTTCGTTGCATGCCTATTATTAATTGATAAATATGAAAAAAAGTAGGAATTTTTTTCATGGATTATCATGTCTCTTAAGTACAGTGATTAAAATTAAACATTGGAAATTGAATACAGTATATTTATGAATGAATAAAGTTGTATTGAATATTTTCCAGGATATAACCAAAGCAAAGCAGTTTTTACCTTTCCTCACAAAGGCTGACCGCCTAGACGCACTGTGTGAGTTTGTAGCTAGCGGCTCCAGACTGAGAGTTTTCCTCCCTAAAGAAACATGTCTTATAACTTTCCTTGTCTCAGGTATAAACAAATATGACCTTTATTGTCAACAAATATATCATTGATGAAAGTAAATTAAAATAGATCTACTGACATACCTTCTCTTTATATTAACAAATTAAAAAGCTTGTAAAAATTGATTTGAAGATTCTGATGGGGTATATATGTAAATCATGTGATGTAATATGTATAATATTTTTGATTCCAGGAATTGATTGTCCGAGAGGTTCACGCCCAGGACCAGCAGGCTCTACTATACCAGCTGAACCATTTGGTGAGGAAGCTACCATGTACACCAAGGAAATGTGTTTACAGAGAGAGGTAAACTTCTTTTATTATCTAAATATATGGTATAATAACGGCATGTATATGCTTCCAGTATGGTAATATACGTCATGTGTTGTAGTTTTGACAGGAATATCTGTTTTGCAGGTAGCCACCATAATAAGACGTGCCAAGTATTGTGATATTAAAATTCCTTAAGTGTTGGGTCATCAGGTTGTAGTTCAAAAGCAGTACAAATCTGATCACCAAAATAAGCTTAAGATTAAGTACTGAAACTGTTTATATTATGTTGTTCTTTAGCAGATCGTGTAAAATTGATCTCTATTTTTCTTTTCAACAACATACTAATTTGCTCAAATACTGGATGGATTTAATAACTATTGAGTGCAATGTTTAAAATCTTAAGATGAAAATTTTCTTTCATCCTTCATTTCTGAGATCCTGAACAATAACAAAAAAAGCCAAACATATTAGCCAAATCCTATAATATGTAACTGTTTGACACTTATAGTTGCTGATATAAAATCATTATGACATTAAAATGATCATGCTGCAAATTTCAGGTTGAGATCAAGGTAGAAACAACTGATAAGGGAGGTAACTTTATTGGCTGGCTGTTTGTAGATGGTGTGAATCTTTCCTTGTCTCTGGTAGAACAAGGTCTGGCCAAGGTTCACTTTACAGCTGAACGTAGCGTCTTCTACCCACAGATGTTGAAGGCAGAGGAGGCAGCCAAGGCTCAAAAATTAAATGTATGTAATGTTACCTCACTAAATTACATTTAATAGATTATTTTTTTCTATGAATCAAATGGAGATTTCTAAAATTGACATGGAATCAAATGGCAGGCAATCTTGCATGTCTTTCCACTCTAAGATTATAAAAGACAGATTTCTGTGTCTTGTAGTTCCATGCAGCTCAATTCACAATACTGTGTCCTTTCATTCCTGTGCATGGCACATGTATTTTCTAGAATTATTTTACAACATAATATACTCGAAACTGTTTAAAACGATAGGAATAAGTTTTATGAGAAAGAAAAAAAAAGATTATTACTGGTACAGAATCCCTGAATATAGGTTAAGTAATTTCTGCTGTTATATGAGTAAGATGAACGAAATGGTAGATTATTCAAGGAATGTCCCACAAAGTCATGGACAATGAAAATATAACACCGTAGTCTAAAGTAATTTTGCACAAATGTTTTTCTATCAATATTAAGTAAAATAACAAACTTTAATTAAGAATGTATACATACAATAAATGCTGCCAATGTATAAATGAAAGTGTTTGATTGTTACACAGATCTGGTCTAAGTATGAAGAACCAACAGTAGAGAAGCCTGAAGATGAGCCCCAAGAGAGACAGGTCACATATAGAAATGTTGTTGTAACTGAAGTAAATGATGACCTCAGATTTTACGCACAGACTGTCGAAAATGGTATGATATTTAAACAAGATCTAGGATGTTATATGTTATTGTATTAGTTTTGTTTACCTGCTGAGTTAAATAAATACTGCACTATTTTCTGTAATATAATTACTTTATGTCAAATAGTAACAGAACTGGTCTCGTAAAAAGTGAAATTGATAAATATTTGACTGTATTTGCTATGAGAAATATCTTTATAAAGGGAGAACGAAGTTGTTTTAATTGTGTGATTACCTTTGTATTTCATTGTTTATCAGAATTATCCACCTAGTACTACCTTGATGATTACATTCAGGGATACGCACTGTCATAAATTTAAATGAAATACTCAGTTTTCCCATTTCTGAATGACTATATAGAGAACAGAATTGTGGTGTCACAAGGTTATTTCATCACATTGTACATTGTTGTTATATTTATAATCAGGTCCTCGTCTAGAGCAGTTGATGGAGGAATTACGTGTAGAAATGGACTCAAACCCACCCCTACCAGGAGCTTACACACCAAAGAAAGGAGATACATGTGCAGCTAAATACTCAGAAGATAAACAATGGTGAGTGCTTACAAACAGAAAATATAAATACTGGAGACATGTGTTTTTCCTTGTTAGTAGACATGATACGTGAAAAGTTGTTTTATATGGCTAAATGATTAGAAAATAATACCAGAAATTTACATAATTAACACCGGGCTTGTCACTGCCACAGAATCGGTCGTGACACACGATGACCGGAGAAAGTGCACCAGGCTGACCGCGAGCAGCGCCAGGACAAGGTCCCGTTAAAGGATTTCTGCACTTTGACACGCCACCATTGGCGACAGGCTTAATTTGGAACAATACATTGTTAATTTGAGGAATTATCAATTGGAAGAAGGTTAAATAAAGCAGGGGATATAAGTGAGTGCAATAAGACTGATGGATGTGTTGGTTGGCCTGTCTCTATTCAGTCTGGTGTGATAGGTAAGTTATTGTCACCCTTGACCTTGATGGATGTAAAGTCAATTGTTTGATTTGTATTTCAGGTACAGAGCTAAAGTAGAAAAAGTGGAAGGATCAAAGATAACAGTTTTCTTCATTGATTATGGAAATGTAAGTAAACATCAAGATAAAGCAAAGTTTCTATTATTCATTCACCATTTTACAAAACATGGCAACAAAATATGTAATTTTAGAGAATATTTTATAAGTTATTTTATTTTTGTGTCCCCACGTTAGTGGCGGGCATTTAGATTTACCCTTGTCCGTCTGTCCTTCCGTCCGTCCATTCACTTTTGTGTCGCACGTTACTCAAAAAGTATTTGACCTAGAGTCATGAAACTTTACAGGAATGTTGATCAGCATGTGTAGTTGTGCACCTGGGTATTTTCGTCTGGATATTTTTAGTATTTTCAGAGTTATTGCCCTTAACTTAGTAAAATTTTGCAATTTTCAACTTGTGTCGCATGTAACAGTTTTTTACCTAGAGTCATGGAACTTTACAGGAATGTTGATCAGCATGTGTAGTTGTGCACCTGGGTATTTTCGTGTGGATATTTTTTGTATTTTCAGAGTTATTGCCCTTGACTTAGTAAAATTTTGCAATTTTCAACTTGTGTCGCACGTAACTCAAAAAGAATTTGATCTAGAGTCATGAAACTTTACAGGAATGTTGATCAGCATGTGTAGTTGTGCACCTGGGTATTTTCGTCTGGATATTTTAAGTATTTTTATAGTTATTGCCCTTGACTTAGTAAAACTTTGCAATTTTCAACTTGTGTCGCACGTAACTCGAAAAGAATTTGACCTAGAGTCATGAAACTTTACAGGAATGTTGATCAGCATATGTAGTTGTGCACCTGGGTATTTTCGTGTGGATATTTTTAGTATTTTCAGAGTTATTGCCCTTGACTTAGTAAAATTTGGCAATTTTCAACATGTGTCGCATGTAACTCAAAAAGTATTTGACCTAGAGTCATGTAACTTTACAGAAATATTGATCAGCATGTGCAGTTGTGCACCAGGTATTTTCGTCTGGATTTATTTAGTATTTTTAGAGTAATTGCCCTTCACTTAGAAAATTTTTGCAATTTTCAACTTGGATTTGACATAGTCATTAAACCTTATGGGCAGGTTGCTCAGCATATTTTAGATTTGCACCTGGGGTTTCGCTTGTGGATTTATCAAATATTTGTAGAGTTATTTCCCTTGACTTAGTAAAAAGATTGACAGAATAGTGTCACGGTGGGGGCACCCGTGTCCTATGGACACATTTCTAGTTTTGCATACAATTTGCAGAATATTATAAGAAAATGATTGAAATGCTGCCTCTTAAACAAAGTTAGTCTCTTTGTGTGTTTCATTGAATATGAAATGATAGGTTCATATTTTTCTCTTTCTGTCAAAGTTACATTAAATATAAGTTGAAAAAAAGAAATAAAAATAAGATAAAACAGAATCTGTTGCAGATTGGAAGTTAAAAATGTCACTTTATCTTCCTTCCCATATACAGCAATGCTAACAAAATCTTTAAAAACATTTTAACGGAATGCTATACAATACCATTTAAATGAATATATATATATGATATGTTTACAGCGTGAAGCTACAGATTCCACACAACTGGCTCAGCTGCCGACACAGTTTGCTGTCATGTCTCCACAGGCTACAGAATACACTCTAGCATTTGTTACACAACCAGCTGATGTAAGTCATTTAACTGACAGATAATCTCATATTATAACAGTGATTTGATAATGAACTATTAATCTAATAAATAGACATTTTGGTTAAGTAGTTTAGTAGGCTGTCCAGGCAACAAGTGCCACCTGTTGGTGTGTAATTTTAGAAAGGGAAAAATTTTTTTGTGATGAGTGAGATTTTCTAATTGCTTGACATTTGGTTGATATTCTATGTTGGTATCAAGCCCAGTTAAATATTGATGAATTTGTAACACATTTGTCTAGTGCATATATGTAAAAAGTTTTCTCAGAAATAGAACTCAAAATACTTTTTAATTATATTAAGTTTGTCAAGATTAATGATATGGCTAAAGAAACAAAGTAGTAAAAAATATATCAAAACAGTATGATTGACGTCCGCGCCGAAGCGCGGCGCCCTTATGGAATGAAATCAGATTTTGTGAAAGGGCGACAGCAACTTCTTGAGCCTTATAGTCGGTCATGATGAAAGCCGATCATTCCTATTGGTATGAGGGTGCTTGATTAAAAAAAATGTCTCGATATGTACAATGAATAGCGAACTGGAGAATTTCGCAATGCATGAAATAACCTTTTCCGTCTCTTCGGGGTTTTTTATTTATCATTTTGTAGTACACGGTGGGTTATAAATGTTTGATAGTCAGTTATATTTTATGACAGGAGGATGCAAAGTTAGATGCCCAGGATGCCTTCTTTAACGATGTATTAAACCGTCAACTCATGTTGAATGTTGAACATCGTATAGGGGGTTGTGAGTGTGTCACCTTGTGTGACCCAGAATCAAAGGAAGATGTGGCAAAGAGTTTAGTTAGCGGAGGTCTCCTTCTTGTAGAACAGAGGAAAGAAAAGAGGTTTGCCAAAATGATCTCGGAGTATACCAAGGCACAGGATCTCGCCAAGGCTAACAGGGTAAGCAGTTCATGTATGACTTTTATTTTCTTCATTTTCCTATTGTTTGCCTATATATGTAAGTATGAAAGCCCATGTGTGCACGTGTCTTTGAATTTTTAATGTGAAACTTTTCTGTTAGTTAAAATAATTTTTTGAAGTAAAAACAATATGATTAATTTATTTCTCTTTTAAATTTTGTTTACAGTTGAACATTTGGCGTTACGGTGACTTCAGAGAAGATGATGCTAAAGAATTTGGCTACAAGCGCTAACGTAGACCCATGCTTGACAACACAAGTGGAACGGGCATTGATGACCATATACACATACAGCTGTACATTAACTACACGTGTAATCTAACATTTACACCAGTTTTAACACGTGTTATATTATGCTGGACTACAAGTGAAATATTACTTCCAGTCAACCACATTAACACATGTTACTGTTAGTTGGACTACACGTGTAACCTTACCATTTACACCTTAAACACGTGTTGAAGTTTGTTGTTTGCGTATGTGAGCATTAAACAGCGCAGCTACACAAGTGGAATCTAGGTTTTTATAATGTATTCAAATCAAACCAATAAACATTACACAAGTTCTTTATAGCTTTATCATAATTGTTTAAAGTGAAGGGTATATCTAGAAAACAAGTCTGACTTTTATATATCTTATTTATTGCCATTTAACAAATTCCTATTTAATTTTGCCATTGTTTTTTTTTTAATTTATAATTGTTTTGATTGCTGTTTTGCATGTCCTAAATTCTTCATGGCATTGACTTAGTAATATTTTTATTACTTATAATTAAAGATATATTACATATATCACACATATATATATATATATATATATTAATTTTTGGACACCAGTTTTTCTAGATATACTTTTCTGTGGTTATGGGTTCTTAAATGCCCCCATTATGACTACATAGGAAATTGATGTATTTATGTAATGAACTGAATTGTGTGTACAATAATTGAAACAGAACTGCGTTTTCTCATCATATGTAACATGTACATGACATGTAGTACTTGTATTATTACGCTTGACTAAATAAGAAAAAAAACTTTTCTGTTAAGAATCATTATTTTTCCAAATATTTTGGTGCTATTGTGTTCAGTTGTAAACTATATTTTCATTACAAAATGTTTGTTATATTAATTTTATTCACATTTTTTGTGTAACATTAAAGGGAGATAATCACTCATTTTTCAGACTTTTTATATTCAATTTTATGATGTTTATTCACTATCACTTCTTTAAAGATTTGCTTATTGTCTACCAACAGATATTTTTATTTTTTTACACACATTGAAATGCATTGATGCAAAGTTATTTCATGTTATTTTTATTACAGTTCTCTTTTTTTTCTTCTTACAGTTCTCGACTTCTTACAGTTCTCGAACAGATAAACATATATAATTTACATAGTCCTTTAGTTGCTAGCTTAAAAAGCATGAGTCATTCCAGTATTAACACTTTCTTTACAGATATATGTACAGTAACTTTGCTCAACAGTTATATGTAGGTTGTAATGGACTTCTTTAATGTAAATTTATGTTTATACTATTACCTTACTTTAATTTCATGTTATACCTATGAGTAAAGATTAGCTTATGTTAACTATTCACTACTATCTTGCATTGATTTACAATTGTTCTGACTCTCAAAGAGTATATTGAATAATTTCATACCGTGATTGATAATGAATAAAGTAATGAATTATTATCACAGAATTTTAGGAACATATATAAGCAGTATTTATAATGTTCAATAATGATTTATTTATAAACTGAGCTATGTATGAATGTTTTCCTGTGTAGACATAATATTGGCTTCAATAAAGCGGCATAATCTGAAAATAATCTTGTTTTATGTAACAGCCATGTAAACATAACTTTCTTGTGAAATAGATATTAGCAGATGCTTTGATAGTTAATACCTATTGAAGTAATTATTGAACGGTGGCCTCTGTTTTTCAACCTATGTATTGTAGGTTCAAGCCCTACTCTGGTTACCACATTGTCTCTGCATATGTAAACATAACATTCTTGTAAATTAGATGTTAGCAGATGGTTTGAAGGTCATTTTGACCTATTAAAGTATTCATTGAACAGGGGCCTTGTTGATAATGTCTCTGCTTTCAACCTATGTGTTGTACGTTCAAGCCCTACTCTGGTTACCACATTGTATTGGTTATTTCCTGGAAGTTGTTTCAAAAGTGATAAATTCAAGTTTAAAAGAAATTCTTATTCTAATACATGTATTATAATGTAAAGCAGTGCAATTTCTTGTTCAACTGACATCAGGAGTTAATTCTGGCTAAACATATACATGTGATGTGAAATCAGAATGTAAACAAACTAAATATTGTCCATCAATATCTTAGGAATCCATATCTATATATAATATCAATCAAAAAATGCCAAAAACACAATACAAATGTACACTTATTTTTGCGTTTTGGTATATGTTAAGATTTGACAAACCTTACATATTAAGGTTGAATGAACATATTTTTAACCAGGTTTTCCGAAGGAAAGAACTGGTTATTAGATTGAGGTATGTCGGCGGGCAGGCGTAAACAATTTCTTCTGTGCGCAACTTCTCCTACATTTCTCAACGGATTTTGACCAAACTGTCACAGAAGCTTTGTCGTCAAGTGCCCTGGCACATATTGTCGGGGTTTTGTAATAAGATAATATTCGACCTAATTATGGCCCTTTGTTTTTTTACGTTTTATAGAATATATAGTGAACAATTTCTTCTGTATGCAATTTCTACATTTCTCAACAGATTTTGACCAAACTGTCACAGAAGCTTTGTCATCAAGTGTCCTGGCGCATGTTGTCGGGGCTTTGTGATATGATAATATTCGACCTAATTATGGCCCTTTGTTTTTTTTCCGTATATAGAATATATAGTGAACAATTTCTTCTGTATGCAATTTCTACATTTCTCAACAGATTTTGACCAAACTTTCACAGAAGCTTTGTCATCAAGTGCCCTGGTGCATGTTGTCGGGGTTTTGTGATTGGATAATATTTGACCTAATTATGGCCCTTTGTTTTTTTCCTTATATAGAATATAAAGTGAACAATTTCTACTGTATGCAACTCCTACATTTCTCAACAGATTTTGACCAAACTTTCACAGAATCTTTGTCATCAAGTGTCCTGGCGCATATTGTCGGGGTTTTGTGATAGGATAATTCTTTTACCTAATTATGGCCTTTTGTTTTTTTCTTTATATAGAATATATAGTGAACAATTTCTTCTGTGCGCAACTCCTCCTACATTTTTCAACGGATTTTGACCAAACTTCACAGAAGCATTGTCATCACATCAAGTGCCCTGGCGCATATTGTCGGGGTTTTGTGATTGTATAATATTTGACCTAATTATGGCCCTTTGTTTTTTTTCCTTATATAGAATATATAGTGAACAATTTCTTCTGTATGCAATTCCTCCTACATTATTCATGTTTTACAATGCACATAGTTACATTGTTTGGTCCTTTTATTTGTATTTCAACTACAACATATTTATCTACAATGGTGATAATTGAAAACCTGGTTTCATGACATTGCCATGTTTCTTGTTTTCTAATTGAAGAGTTTAATCACTTCAAAAATATACTCGCTATTTCAATTGAAACATATTCACAGACTTACAAACTGAACGAAGAAAATTGTAGAGCATAATTACTTATGGTTCTCATGACATTCCTTTCCACCTTTCTTTAATTAAAAAGGAGCTTACCACCTGTTATATTTCTCTCTGGTAATACAAATATAGTTTGTCCTAAAAACCATAGGCACTTGTTTTCGGGATAAAAAGCCTTTTGTAGGACTCAAATTTGATTGAATGTAACGATTTTTGAACGTAGATGTCTCGATTCTAAATTCGACATTTTTCCGATATTACTAAGTTTTTTTTAGTAATATCGGAAAAATGTCGAATTTAGAATCGAGACATCTACGTTCAAAAATCGTTACATTCAATCAAATTTGAGTCCTACAAACCCTTCAAAAGGCTTTTTATCCCGAAACCAAGTGCCTATGCTAAAAACCCCTTACTGTATATTTTTTCTCTCAGTCTTTAGACTGACTAAGACTGAGATTTTTTCTTAGGCAGGTTTAGTGTTCAGTCAAAAATTTTGTTCTTTGTTTTTTTTTGTTTGGAATGTTTCAGTGTGAAATTATAGATTTTTAACTTTAATCTGTGCAATACCATTGGCCCGCCCTTTTGTCTTTGTCGTCCATTGCGTTATCATTTGGATCCTGATTGGGACAGGCGGTGTACGGGTATCTATAAATGGTCTGATCATGTAAATTTTATATGTTGCTCTTGATTATTGCCATTTTTCTGAGAACTGTTCACCGATCCGCTGGTTAAAACATCAGACAAATATAGACACACTATGTTATCGTTTTACTTTTTACATTACGAGCACATTGGTTATAATTTAAAACTTAAACTGGTTTAGCAGTTGTTAACTGAAATAATCCAGAATAAAAGGCTATTTTGGCTTTTTGCTTTCATGCATTATGCTTTTTTATTGTGTATTTATTTCTATAGACTTATAAAAATGGAGAGAATACATACATAAATATACACGTAGTCTAAATTGAATTGCAAATGAAAGCAGACATGAATGCCACATCAAACGTGTCTACTTCTTATATAATTGATTTAAAAAGTTTAAGTGTGGCCATCGTCCAAAAATTCGTGAAACTGTTGTTGCTTTTTTCATGCAACTTTATGGCCAATGCCAGTTTCTATATATCAGGATAATTTGTTATTTTGATTAAAATTATATTGACTACTTGTAATCTATCTGTTCTTAGGTCTCTTATGCCGGCTCGCCACGGCGAGCCGGTATTACGTTAGGATTTTACTGAGAAACAACCTAAAACTCCGAATCCATCCGAAAATTTAACCGAAGCTTGGCTTCCAGCTTTCTATAAAGATTTATCTATCAGGGCTAGGATCCAAAATTATTTAGCCAATCAAATTTAATCTTACATAGCGTCAAAAAACCTTCAATTTTCACGCCATATTTAAAAAGCAGCAAGTATTGTTTTGAGCGCAAAGATATTATGATGATTAAAATGTTTGTTTTCATGAATTCTTTTCAATAAATCATATCAACACTGACTTTTGATTTAGCGATTTCACCTGTTCCTCTGTAGTAAGTTTTCGTTTGGTTAATTAACATAAGTGTACACCTGGTTCTGTGCATTTTTTTCTTTTTCCTTTTTTCCGGTCATTTTATCCTTTCTGGTATTTAGTGTATATATTTACTGGCCGGGATCCGGGATCGTATAAGATATAGAGGAAAAACTTATAAACTATATTTGTGTTGATTATTGTCGTAATGAAAGGCCATTAAACGTTAAGTTTTTTTATTGTATGTAATGAACGTTAAATTAATTAAACTTTGGATATAAATATATTTAGAGCTATTTATCAACAAACTTAAAAATCACAATACTTATAATTATATGCCTAATTAATTGGAAAAATCAAGGACTACATTCTTGAATTGGTCAAATCCCGGGATCCCTTTATGTTTTAATGCGATCCCAGCTTTTCTGAAAACTATTCTTGAACTGGCGAATTCCTTGGATCTCTTTAGACTTTAATATTATCCCGGCTTTTCTGAAATCTATATTCTTGAACTGGTCAATTCCCGGGATCCCTATATGTTTTAATAGGATCTCGGCTTATCTGAAAAGCATCTAAGACTGGTTAGTTCCCGGGATCCCTATATTTTTAATAGGATCCCGGCTTTTCTGGATGAATTAATTGACAACTTGTGTTTACTTTAGGACTTGTGTCTGTCACTCATTCCAATACTAAATATCATATTACAACTTAACTTCGTATAAAGAGACATCTTTATGAATTCTACCTCTCTAACATTTATTTGGTCAAGGTCAAAAGGCCATATAGTAAATGTGCATAGACATAGGGACTTCATTCTATCTGTTTACATGGATCTTCATATATACTCATATTCCTCTTTGTTAAACTGAGTGAAGCTGGCTTCCATAACTTTATGTCACTTATATTTTGATGTTCGCTGAAGTCTCTTCAGCTAACAGAACTGTCATTTTTAACCAGGTTTTCCGAAGGAAAAAACTGGTTATAAGATTGAGGTATGTCGGCGGGCGGGCGGATGGGCGGGCGGGCGGGCGGGCGTAAACAATTTCTTCTGTGCGCAACTCCTTCTACATTTCTCAACGGATTTTGACCAAACTTTCACAGAAGCTTTGTCATCAAGTGCCCTGGGGCATATTGTCGGGGTTTTGCGATTGGATAATATTTGACCTAATTACGGCCCTTTGTTTTTTTCCTTATAAAGAATATATAGTGAACAATTTCTTCGTGTGTGTGTGTGTTTGGGTTTGTTTACCCTCGCCACCGGAAAGAGACCATATGGGCGAGCATATACTTCATTTATAACCTTTTAAAAAGGGGGAGCTGATGTTTAATTACTTATTGTTATATCCGTACATGTGTTTATGTGCATACCATATCCCCCATGACAGGGTAGTCTCTACGTACAACCTCTGCCATGGGAGGAAGATGGGGCAATCCCATACTAAGATTAAGAATTCTAAAATTAAATTATTAAAAAGCACTTATTTTAAAATTGGCCAAGACGTTTATAGTAGTTACCGTCTTTTATAACAGGTCATTCTAATATTTAGTATAACTTAAGAAAAATTAAAATATTACCTATAATTGTAGAGTTCGCATACTTGCGAAGAAGGCATGTCAGGAACGTTTTCTGACCAATTCAATGTGGGCTGTCTATTATTTATGTTGGTTTCTATTTACATGTTATAAACCGTATA